TTCTCTGGCAGGTTCAAGTATTCAGAAAAAAGAAAACAGGCTATTTTTTTAAAGGGTTTGAGCCAGCTTCCTTTAGAAAACTCTGCTGAAAGCTGCTTGTGTCTCTAAAACTCTTCCTCCTTAAGTAATTTCAATGCTTTTTCTCTATAGAGATAAAAATACTTTGAATAACTGCCTGGATTTTAAAAAATCAATTAAAACGCACTGCTGAATTTTGCCATTCCAACTTTTACTACCACTCCTATAGTGTTGTTTTTTCTATTTGAACTGCAAATCCCTCTGGTGCCAAAAGCTTTGCAGGAAGACTGGCAGGAATGAATGTTACTTAGCTTTTTATATAGACAATATATCTTAAGGCCTAGAAATAGGTTTACTGAAATTGCTTGAAAGACCCCAGGTATGGTATTGCTGTGGTTCAAGCAGGTTTAAGTCAATGGAACTTTGTAGTACATTTTGTTGTTGTGTTATGTTTTTGTTTAGTGTCGCTGTGTATATAGGAAAAATGAGACTTTGTACTTTACAAGTCTCAGAAGAATACACAGGAAAGTGACCGTACTGAGAGTTTCATTTTCTGTGCATCGAAACAGTGGGCAAAGAGATTTCATGGTAGTTTTTAAGAAAGTAGTTTCACTTTGCCAGTAATAAAAGGTTAATTTTCAAGATCCAGTACTTTGCCTCCTGACGAAATTTTCTGAGACTATGTCTGAGGAAAAGGTTTTTCTATGAGGCTTGAACTGAAATTGATGCTGAAATCAGTGGCAATAAAAATATTTTAGAAAGATTCAGGAAAACAAATAAAATTTGTAAAAATTCCCAAAGAGTTCATAAATGTTATATTTAGCTGATGCAAAAATAATGTATTATACCCAAAGTTGATATGATGAGGATATGAAACACTTTATCATATTAACAAATATTTCTGAATACAGCAGGCAGTACATATTATCATTGAATCTCCTGCTCATTTCTGATCTAAAGTAGGTATTTGTAAGCCATTGGCAATGAATTCTAGGAAACTTCATTTCAAGAATTTTAGTTTGCATAGAAATTGATTTGATTAACATTCATCATGGCTGTTTCTTTGTCCTGCGCATGATCTGACTTAAAATGTTTCATGGCTGTATGTCACATTAAACGCAGTAAATAATTTTTTAAACAGGGCCTAAAGCAACATTAAAAAAAAATCCATTCCTAAGAAGCACTTGCAAACAGCTGACCATTATATTAGCTGTAAAGGAGCATGCCCCTGTATTCCTATGGTGAAGTTTATTGCTAGATCAGAAATTGAAAGGTTGGTTTGTAAAATACCAAACTGTTTATCTCACTGCAAGTACTTACCCCACAGTGGAAAAAAAGGTCTCCAAAAAGAGAAAAGCAAATCAAAAGCCTAACTCTAGCACACAGGCATTACTTCTGCTGTTAGCACTTCATCTTCTCCCAGCACACTGTTAGCCGAGATCCAAATCGCCACTCTTGAAGGTTTCCATGAGTCACCCAGGCAGATCCACGGCTGCCCCGATCTCGTGTTGGCGACAGTCCCACTTGCAGGGAGAAGCTGGGTTATGGGACTTCCCAAGGCCCCTTCCCACCAGCATGTCCAGAACTCTGTCATTTTGTCATCCCAAGGAGGTGCTGTGACAGAGTCCTTGCAATGGCTACACTCCTTTGAGAAAAGAGACGGCTAACAGATTTCATAGAGCAACTGATAAATAACCATTCAAGTTTTAAGCGAATGAGTATTCTGCAATTTCTTTCTGCAATAAATTCTAGTAGCTCTGAAAGTGTAAAATGCTATTTTCAGTATTAACCTAACATCTGAAATAGAATTTTTTTACTTTGATAAATGGCGTATGCCCACAAATACACTTTTCCCTGCAGGGGCAGCCATCAGGAGGAACAGCACACAGGCAAATCTGTGTCTTCCACCTACAGCATCCCACCCTGTCACTGCAAGTAGCACAAGCGCACTGTAGCCATGAAGGGCCAGAGGTCCAGCTAGACCTGAATCCAGCCTCTACTCATAGCTGCCAGTAACCAATGCCTTCACAAGGGACAGTATCAAAGAACACTGTTCTTCTCTGGCAGATTTGGGCAATCAGTGGGCTTGGGCCTTTCTGAACTGGAGGTTTCCTGCCGACAGCTGTATTAAATAGCCATTGAGGGACTGTCTGCTATGGAAATGTCTAATCCTTCTCATAGCTGATTTATTTATCTAGCTTCTGCAATGTTCTTTGCAAAGATGAGTACAATCTAATCATAACTCAACTGGTAAATTAAATCTAAGTTCGATGTACTGTCTGTTCTTAAGAACAACTCTGTGAAAGTAGTGTGATCCTGTATTTATGAAAATAGTTTCTGATCCTGTGCTTATTGTCTGCCAGTCAAGTTCAGTCTGGAAGATTAAATCTGTTTCATTCCTAAATTAAAAGTTTGTTTTCTGAAGAACATTTCTGAAATTTCAGTGCAAGTGCTGAGTTAGGTTTTTATGCTGGCCTTTGGAAAAAAAAAACCACACCCAAATGAAACAAAGAAGAATGTAACTATCCTGTTGATAACGCCTGAGGTCAGACTCTACCTCACTCTCCCCCACTTGCTCATAACATTACATCAGTAATACTGAAACATTAAGATGAGAAAAAAATCTGATCAAGTAAAATACTGATCTAGATACCTTATAGATGCAGTGATATATCAAGGTCAGAGTCACACTGTCTTCTGAAGAATTCTGCACTCACATCATGCTGCTGGTTATCCAACAGTTCAAGGGATTTTGTAATGTCTATCTGTGGTGTTGACTCTGCGGTTGAGTGTTTAGTACCTTGTTTGACATGCTAGCAAACATCTGCTCAGTGTATGGTGAGACTTTAAATGAAAAGTTCCCACTGTGGTTCTGAATGCACATCTCTACTTTACCAAAGCATCCTTTCAAATGGCAATGATTGCTGTCCAGCCAGATTAGCCCAGAAATTACTATATAAATAGCCTTATAAAATTAGCTGCCCTCCTGCAGGTAGGTAAGTCTTCTCTGGCACAAGTAGGGAAGAGTGTAGGCAGTTTAACAATAAAAGGCCTCCAGACTTTAAATGTTGCTCATTCAATTGATGTTCAACTTACTCAAAATCCATTTTAGCTTAAATTAAAGCTAGTCCCATTATAATTATATTGGGAACACAGTTTATTTTCATTGTAGGAAAATTGGGCCATGATTACTGATCACTAGAACATTAAGACCTCATATTTTTGCCAGCACAGAAGACTGCAGTTTTGTCAGAAGAGGCAACCTTGGGCTAGATTTGGGATAGCATTGTTGGGAGACGATGAAGCAGCCTTTACATGCAGATAGGCCTGTTGCTGAAAGTAGGGCTTCCAGCACTTTCACTGTGCTGATAGCCACAAAGGACAGTTCAGCCATCTGTCAAGAAACCTTAGCAAACCGACAAGATAAGGGTTTGTTTTTTTATGTGACCATATGACTGTGTTAGATTAAATGGCTTTTTTTGCGAGGCTCATTTTATTAACTGCTCTCAAATTCATTCAGCGTGTCTGAAACAGCCTCATAATTTGCCTTCTTCCTTGCTGCAGGAAGGTAGGGGACTGATCATCCCAGAGCTCCTAGCTGCTCATCTCCCCTCCCAGTTCCCATGAACTACTGCATTACTAACATTTCCCCTAGTGACAATTAAAGTAATTAGACTCCGATGAGTCAACATGATAGATAAAGAGAGGCCAGATCCTGCCTCCCAACTAAATGACCCTGTGCCACTTAGGAAGCACAACGGGGACAAAGGTCTGCATGCACAAGGGACAGCCAGGGATGCCCCCACGGTGCAGGTGGATGGCTCACAGGCAGGAGCCTGGCTGACAAGGGAGGTGAAAGAACTTTAATTATTCCACACTACTTTCTAGTTTTTACATGGAAAGCAGATCCAAGGAAGAGAATTACTTGGCAGCGGTGTCAGTTTCCATGTTCCTATACTCTTGGCAAAATTATTTTGATTAAAAAAATAAACCAACAATTTTTAGATTTTGTTACCATTGCGCAGGAGCTCTAGAGGTAGGAGGAGTATCTTTACTTTCAAACTACCCCTTTAGAACAGCATCTAATGGGCAAACTCTAAGCACCTTCAAAACTAGAAAGAAGTCTGACAAAGAGGATGGGCAGAAGGCCAGGTCCTTTTGCACCTCAATAATTTTGAGCTGATCTTTTGGTGAGTCACCTGTTGTACCTGTGGTTTCCAAAAAGCGTGCAGTTTATGTACAGACCTCTCTGCCAGGGACAGCCCTCCAGAAAAAGCATAATGTCATGCTAGTGCCTGCTGTGAGAGGTACCTACTTCCTCGTACCGGGAGAACAGATGCTGCTGGTGCCCACGGCCAGGTGCTGCCACAGGGGGACTGTTGGGGGGGGCCTCTGTGAGAAAGGACCTGCGGTTGCCCCGTGCCAGACACAGCCACCTCTAGCTGGCACCAGCAGACCTGCTGCTGGCCAAAGCCGAGCGTATCAGCAATGCTGGTAGCACCTCTCCGAAAACCTATTTAAGAAAGAGTAAAAGACACTGTGCAGCAGCTGTGAGAGAGGAGTGAGAAAACGACGGAGAAACAGCCCTGCAGACACCAAGGCCAGTGAAGAAGGAGGGAGGGGAGGAGCTGCAGGCAGGGAGCAGAGATTCACCTGAGAGGGCAACTGGGTGGGCATCTGACAGCCAGCCAAGGTCAACCCACCACGACAGACCATCAGGGTGGAGGGAGACTCTTCTATCTCCCTAACACTGCATGTGGTGTGAAGCAATGTGGCAGATCCAGCTGCCCATCAGCTCTGTGTCATCTCAAGGTCCAAGCTCACACGACCCAAACTTCCTATCTGAAAGAGAGACACCTAGATGGACATCTACAAGGCCCACAGTAGGTCCAGTGCCAAACACTGGACCCAACAGACGCATCTTTTCTCTCCATACCTAATAAAATCTTCCCCCTTCATGTTTTTTCATTTATAGAGGAAAAATGGCAGAGGGCCAGCCACACCTAAGTATTCAGATGTCAGACTCGAATACAAATGGCATCCCCAGCAGAAAGCAGTCCTCTCCAGACTTAGCTGGCACGGGAGGAAGCATACTAACTTTCCACAACATCTGCTACCATGTGAAGATGAAGACTGGGTTCCTGTGTTGTCAAAAAACAGCCAATAAAGAAGTTTTGAGACATGTCAAGTATGTATTTAAACATCTCTTTAGAATATGTGTATATTTTATTTCTGTCTGGACAGTTGAGTCCACTCATGTCACTGAGCCACTAAGCACAATATACAGAATTTGATCAAGATTTAGAAAAATTATATGTATGTATGGTTGCTTTGTGTTTGCTTAAACTGTGCTTAAGCTTCCTGCTAGGCCCCAGTGGTCCTCAGTCATTGGAGCTGAGCCTGTACAACAGAGAGCTCATGCTGCTGGGCGCCATTTCCCCAGCCTTCCTGGCCGCTATCAGCACAGGGGCACATGAGCCAGCTGTGGTTGTTTTACACTACCTGGCAAGTCTCCCACTGTGCCGTGGTGTTTAACTGAGATACCAACAGCCTGTCTTCAATGTTTGCGTCTCCTTCCCTAAGGTGGCCTTTGGGAAGGTTAATTCTGGGGGGGTTTACCTTAAAATGTTTAAGACAGTAATATAAACTAGGGTTAGGTTAACTTTGAAGAGATGTAAAGTTTTCTCTTTTTTTGTTGTGGTTTTTTTTTTTTTCCAACATTGAGCACTACTGCACTAAAGGAATCACATCGTTATGGCCTTTGTTCAACAATCTATGCATAGAGTTTGCCCATTCACAGTTCAGTAGTTAAGCTAAGTGGCAAATACTCATACAACATGCCATTCCAAGTCACCCATGACTTTCAGCTCCCTAACTCCAATTTCTGTCATAAATATATAATATACAGCCTTTTGTGTAGCTCTGTCTGTCCTGCTCTTTGCCCATGCATTTTCCACACCTCCTAAACATGAGCTCTTAAAATCTTTCCTACTCTCCTCAAGAGTTGTACGTTATGGTAACTCAATTGACTGACATTGGTCATTTGCAATGATGTGAGCAGAAGGCCCCTCTTGTGGCTTATTGTAAAAGACCAACGTTTAACACACATTACGCTTTTCCCTTTTAGAAAATGCAACATTTGCATTTGTTTTGTTACATATTGGGTTTTTGTGTTAAAATCACATATAACATAACATAATGTATGTATAATGTGTATGCTTCTTAATCTGTGGAACCATAAATTTCCACAATAAGAAATTGAAGGAAACAAATATGCATCAGGAAGAGCAAAATCAAGCCTCCTAGGTTGCATGACATTAGACCCTAAGAACAGCTGTACTGGGTGAGACCCACAGCCAAGTAACTCAGATCGCTGATACCTGGATTGCTGATAACAACCAGTACCAGAGTGCAGTTCAAGATAAATTTTGTATCATGACATACATTGTATTGTGTTACAGACAGGCATTTGTATTTGCAGCGTGATTCTTGTGTACACCAAAGCTTGTTGAGCACAGATTTTAGGGGCTAGTCAGGAAAAATAGCAGCGATGCCTTCACATGCTCCAGCAAAAAGATAAAAAAAAGGCAGCAGTATTTCCATATACTGTATCATTTCTATAGGGTCTTTTCCCCAAATACTTTAAAAACCTTTTCTATCTGGCTTTTGAGTTTCATGTGGCTTAAAATCATATACAGAAAAACTATCAACTGCAGTTTCTGTAAGTACAGACAAATCCTAGTCTGTACTAGAACATACTAGTCTAGAACATACTAGTATGTTCTGTCTACAGGGACCATTATTGTCTTTGCTGAGAGAATAACACCTTTAGAAATGAATGTGGTTAAAGCAAGTGTGTGTGCTTCACTTCTAGAGATCCATGGGGGAAAAGCATGCATACAGGTTTTGCTAAAACTTACTCAAGTTTCTGTGTTGTCTTCGTTATATGAAGATTAATTCTTCTTCAATTAGGAATAAAAATTAAGGTGGAGTTTGACTGATCATAAATATTGTTTTTGATAAGGCAGCTTCATTAATTCCAAAATTAATGGGATGCAGAAGGTAGTTCTACAGATAATTTACACTAGCCTACCAGATGAAACAGTAAGAGAGATAAAAACACCCTATCTATTTTGTAAAACCTGTTTTTTCTTACAGTGGCATCATGAGACCAGGACTGAATGCAATTTTGGGACCCACTGGCAGTGGTAAATCTTCGTAAGTGCCCTCTTTACCCTACACAGAAATTACACTAAGGAGAAAATGAACCTGCACATATTTAGCAGTAATGGACAATACTTTCAGGGAAAGATTTTGTTTTCATTTAGGTCTCTGCAAATCTCACTGGTTTCTGAGAAATACCTGGATTCAAAAAAGACAATCAGCTTACATGACAAAGATGTAATTCAATTTTAGTCCATACTTTTCTGATACACGATCTTTACATATCATTCACAGTTAAGCTCATATTATTGAATGAATGGACACAAATGCACCATCAAATTGCACAGATCTCATTTCCTTAGGGAACCAGGACAAAAGAAACTCAGCCCTTGAAAGTTGCAGGGTGGGGGGTTTCTAAATAGCAAGTGTTTAACATGGGATGCTTTTATGTAGCTGTTCATTCCACGAACTGGGTTTGTGGTTCAGAGAGCTTACCTCCTGCACGCTCATCTGACAAAGTAACCAACTTTTCTCCTAGTCTGCTCGACATTTTGGCTGCAAGGAAGGATCCTCATGGGCTTTCCGGTGACATTTTGATCAATGGAGCTCCTCAGCCTGCCAACTTTAAATGTACCTCTGGATATGTAGTACAGGTAAGTAATTTTTACCACTGTATGGATTTTATTATCCCCTTCTCCTAGTCTGCTCGACATTTTGGCTGCAAGGAAGGATCCTCATGGGCTTTCCGGTGACATTTTGATCAATGGAGCTCCTCAGCCTGCCAACTTTAAATGTACCTCTGGATATGTAGTACAGGTAAGTAATTTTTACCACTGTATGGATTTTATTATCCCCTTCTCGCTGTGGATGTGGTCTACCTGGACTTCGGTAAGGCCTTTGACACCGTCTCCCACAGCATTCTCCTGGAGAAGCTGGCGGCTCACGGCTTAGACAGGTGGACTCTGCGCTGGGTAAAAAACTGGCTGGACGGCCGGGCCCAGAGAGTTGCGGCGAATGGAGTTCAATCCAGTTGGTGGCCGGTCATGAGTGGTGTTCCCCAGGGCTCAGTTTTGGGGCCAGTCTTGTTCAATATCTTTATCAATGATCTGGATGAGGGGATTGAGTGCACCCTCAGTAAGTTT